TTTTCCTACAACTCAACGGGGAAATTTCCTGCAGCATTTTGCCCTAAAACTAATATTATGCCCCCAACTCACAATTAACATGGAACCACCCCTGACAAAAACATTTCCTTCCTCAAACACATTTTATAAACTAAAAGGGTTTTCCCCTATTAAGAAAAAATTAATGGTGCACCTTTCTTGGTTTTTTTTTCAACCACCACTCAAAACCCTTTTCTATTTTACTTATTGTCATTCGTTTCGGGTCCAACCTGGGTTACCTTGCACAAGTTCATTCCCCATTTTTTAAAATTTGTATAAGTGTGTTCATTCAGGACATAAGCTAACCCTTTTTCCATCTCTGTTCACCATGCCTGAGTTTTACATTTTTTTCGATTTCTTGAAAACATTAAGAATTTTGCCTTTTCTTCATTGCAGTTCCAGAATCATTTTGCATTCCTCCCGGGTGCCATTACACACCCTGAGGCTCATTAGGGAAAAGGGAAAAAGACAGCATTAAACCACATTTTTTCCTTATAGTACTCCGGTAAACCAATATTTATGGCATGCACCAAAAATATTTTGAAATTTTTTTTGAAAAATGTGTTAACAGAAATGTATTGCGACTAACAGGGGCCGGAGAAAGGGGGCTAGAACCCCCTTTCCCCTTAAAAAATTACTCAATTTAGCCCGGGAGTGTCACAAATCCCTTTCAAAAACTTCTTTCTATGTCGAAAAATTTTTTTTAAAAAAAAAACAAAAAATTATTTTTTTTTATGAAATATAGAGAATTTTTTTCCCGTGGAATGACACCAAAATAAAAATTTTGTAAAATTCACAAAAAACCCCTGCAAAGTTAGCGTCTCGGCGACAAATACACACGGCAATTTGCCGACTTTGAGCCCTTTTTTTGGGGCCAATTCCTTTTTTCCAGTTCACTAAACTCAAGCTATTTCTTTAAACTCCAATTTTTCACAGTAGTACAAAAAACTGCCAATTTACCAATTTTAACTACCCCAATAAATGGTCAAAATTTGGCCCAATTTGGAGAATTTTACGCAAATTTTAAAAAAAAGCCAATTTCAAAAAAAGGTCCAGAATAAACAAAGTAGACATTCCGGCACTAAAAAAACAATCCTCTGTTCATTATCCTTCTTAGGCCCCTCTTACATTACTTTTCTTTTTTATTTTTATTTTTTTATTCATACAAAAAATACAAAATTTACGTTATGCGACTACGCAGATTGAAAAATGGAAAATAATATCATTTCACAGTAAAGAAAATTAGACTTCCCAGTTGGCGTGCATTAGACATGTGGGGTGATTTCTTTCCCTGAACTTGGTAAAAATCAACAATTCTGCACTTTGAGCTCAATTTCAGTCGTTTTCATCAAAACTTATCTTAATGAACTCATGCCCCAAAAGTCACTCTAAAACCAAATCTGAAGGATACCAGGGGCATTGTCTAAACCGGAGGGACTTAAGGCCAATTTATTTTTAATAGGTAATTTTTCACATTTTGGGGGAAAAGCCTAGTTAACCATCATGAAATGTCCCTAGTGAACCCATGCCTTACTGTTTCCCCCACAGCACACACAAATTTGCCTTTGGGGTATTCTTTTTCCTGAAAGCTCGGGATTTCAAGTGAAACCCCCAATAAAGGCTTTAATTTGCAATCACCACTAGCATTTGGGACACATCAACAAGTAAGCCTGTCTTCATAGATATTACTGGGATGCCTTTTCCCCTCCTCAGTAATGTAGGTCCTGCTGGCTTTTTTTTCCAAAACAGGCCTGTTTCATCACAATTAAACACTTGTTCAGGGTTTTAATCCCTTTAGCCTCTATGTACTCCTTTAATTACTTCACATATTTTTCAGTGCTTTTGGGCCGAACTGGCAGCCCCCCACCCTGCCTTATCACACTATGATGCCACTACTTTTTAAATCTCTCAAACCAACCTTTGCTGGCCCAAATTACTCACTTTACCACTAGTTGCGGCATTTTTTTTTTTAAATTTAAAACCCAGCACTGCCTAGCCCTTTTCAATTAAAACTTAGATTCTATCTCCTGCTATCGTTTTTTTATTTTTCCCCACCAATAACAGTCTCTCAACATCTTCTATCACTGCGTCTGTTTAAAACATAGTTTCACCTTTGGCAAGAAAACTTCCTTTATTGCTGTTTTCTTTTTCCAATATACAATGGTTGTTGGGGGTTTTTTGTCAACCTGGGAACTAGGAGACCCGCTTCCACTTTCAAATTGCAATATCTCTTTCTTATACCCCTAGAAATTTTACCCTTTTTGCTTAGGGGTGCATTTAAAAACTTTCTTGGGGGCCCGGTTTCTTATTTGCAGTGAAAAAACCAAAAACGCTGTGAAATTGAAATGTCCATTGTATTCTTTGGATGGGACCGCGGGGGCTGGGTGGCTTTTAAAAAACTGGCACCCACGGGACAAGTGCCGCCAGGGCCCCAATGGATGCGTCTGGGAAAGGAACAAATCGCGTTGGTCGAGTTTTTGCGCTATTGAGGCAAAATTTTGCGTTAAAAGTATCGCTGTCGGGTTTAAAAAGTTATAAACGATCCATCTTTTTTCGAGGGGGCCCCAAATTGCATTTACCACCCAACTCTCTCCCTCCGATCTGAATCCAATCTTTCATCACCTAACTTTTGTTACCCATAACCAAAATCTTTCCTGTATTCACTTTAATTTTCTCTTTACAACCCAAACCAAATCATCCACCCCAAACCCCTGCAACTTCTCTTCAGAATCTCCCAAAGACACAGTGTCATCACAAAGAGCAACTGTGACAGCCCCACTTTATTGTGATTCTTTATCTTTTAACTCCACGCCTCTTGCCAAGACCCTCACATTTACTCTCTTTCAACCCCCTCTAAAATATATTAAAAAACCACGGTGACATCACCTCCTTGTCTAAGGCCACTTTCGGGAAATAATCCCTCTTTCCTACATACTCTAACTTTGGCCTCACAAACCTCGTAAAAACTCTTCACTGCTTTCATAACCTACCTCCATCCAACACCTGCAACATCGCCACAATGCCCCCCCTTTCCCCCCTTCATACCCTTTTCCAAAAACCATAAATGCCACAAAAACGTCTTACCCTTATCTAGATCTGTTCACTTATATTTTCACTGAAACACCGTCCACACACCCCTTACCTTCCTTTAAACCTCCCTTTTTCATCTGCAATCCTATTTTCCACTACTCTTTAATTTTTTCAAAAAAACCTACCATACACTTTACCAGGTATACTCAACAGACTTATCCCCCTATAATTTTGCATCTCTTTTTTTCCCCTTTGCGTTTAACAAGGAACTAGCAGCTCTCGCTAGAATTCCCCGTATAAAACGTCCGAAAAAGTCGCGTAAAAACGTATATATATTGACCAAACAGTCAAAGGGGTTTAAAAAAAGAAACTTCCTTTTTTTTTTTTTTTTGAGCCACCCCCCGCCCCAGTGGGATGTCTGGTTTTCAGAAAGAAGATTTTTTTTTTTTTTTTTTTTATCACACCGGGCCCATTCCACCAAGGCAGGGGGGCCCGAAAAAGAAAAACTTTTTACCATCATTCACTCCATCACTGTCCTTGCCAGAAAAGGGGGCTTTACACTACGTTTTTTAAAAGCAACATTTCACCCCCCCCTTCAGAGTGCAGGCACTGCTTTTCCCATCTCCAGGGCCAATCCGCCCGCCGGTTTCCCTGAATCCCTTCATAAAGTTTCTTTGCCACACCCAACAGCACGTCAAGTATTAAAAACCATTTGTCCCCCATTTTACTCCTACAAACACGCTCACGCTGCCTGCGGAAGTCCAAGCCCCCCCGCACAAAAAACCCCCTTCACCCCTCCCCCCCAACCTTTCCTAGGCCGACCCCCACCCCCCTTCCTCCACTACAACGATACACTCTTGAAGTCATTCTGTTTTGCTCCATTCTTTTACATGTCCCAACCACCTCAACAACCCCCTTCCCCAGCCCCTGGACAACATTTTGTAACCCCACCTCCCCTGACTTCAAAACTACGAATTCTCTGCATTTTATTCACAACCACAAAAATTTCCCTCAGAAGACATCTCCACTGCCTCCACCTCTCCTCGCTGCAACATTTATCACCCATGACAAAACCCTATAAGAGGGATTGGGAAAATATACCTCATACTTTTCCCCCCTTTTCCTCCAAGGACAAAGTTTTTTGTCTCCACAGACTCCTAAGTGCACCGCTCACCCTTTTCCCCTCATCAATTTTTTGATTCACCTCATCTTTCATAGACCCATCCGCGACACGTCCAACCCCCAAAAATCTGAATACATTCCCTCCTCCCAAATCCTCCCCCAATCGATACCCAAACTTTTATCACCTAATCTTTTTCTTATCCTCATAACCCTTTCTCTTTCCGATTCACTTTTAATTTCTTCTTTGCATCCCTACCAAATTCATCCACCAAACCCCTGCAACCCTTCAGAAACTCCCAAAGCACAGTGCACAGCAAAGACAACTGTGACAACTCCCCCTTTTTGTTATTCTTTAATTTTTAATGGGATGATATTGTAATGTTTCCGACAGTCAAAAGTTTAGTGTTCAAAAACTTTAATAAGTACTATGCCCAAAAATTTTTAAGAATAAACCCCCTGATGTTAAAAGAACCATTTAAAAAAAAAAAAAAAAAAACTTACATTTACAGGGAGGTTCAATTGAAGGGAAAAAGGGTTCATAGAAAAGCGATAGCCTCGTTATTATTTTAGCACTGGCACCCTATTTACAACTCTGAAAAAGGGAAAAAATAAAAAATAAAAAAAAAAAGAAAAAAGTATTCATCAAATAATGATAAAGAATAGGAGGTAACACTTGTCAAGGAGGGACATCACCACTATTTACCTCTCACGCTTCTCCCTCTCCCAAAATTTAAGTCCCTCTGTATTTAACTGAAGAATTTTGCTGAGCAGGTGAAAAACTTTCGACAATAAACATATCCAATTTTTCACACAGGGCTTTCTCACCCAACAAATTTATAGTTGTACCTTTTTGAAGGTCTGTCTGAGTCCTCTGACTTTCTTTTCTCCTGCTTCAATCCCTTCTTTCCTGTATCTGATTTTTTCTTCTCTTCAGTGTTATCCTCTTCAACATCTTTACTGAATCTACTGAGTGTCTTCTGGACCTGTCAGTAAGAGAACAAAAAAATAATTTTCCTTATTAAATAAGTAAACAATTACAGCACACTGGTACAGAAAAGAGAACAGATAACATCTGAATGTCTGTCAGCCTAAAAAAAACCTCAAGAATGTATATCCTTATGGCAAAGTGGCTTAAATTATATTATTTTAATTTAGGTTAATTTAACACTATCACTAATGTCAAGTCTCTTCCTGTCTGTTTTTTAAAGTTATATCAAAACAGCTATGGTACCACTCTTAGAAATGCTGAACTTATAATTGACTTTATCAAGCATCAGTATCAATTATGACACACTGACTGGGCCATGTGTGCAGTAGAGGTTAGCAGTTTCATGGGCCATAAATATCTATGATTACAATACAAAATACAGTTATCAATAAAGGAGACACAAGAAAATTGTTTCAGCATTAAGAATGCCAGGAAATATTTTATTAGCTGGAAGATGTACATTTTCTAAATTATATGGATGTTTTTCAGTAAAAAGTCCACTAACCTGACTCATATACTCTCCATGACATTTATATTATATTCAGAGTTATCCATGTGAGTCACAATCCAAGTTTTTTAAACAGGTACATGATGAGAAAAAATTTAGTAGAAAATATGTGAAAGTGGAGCCAAGTACAAATATACCGATAAAAATATATATAGCAGGTAAAGGTGGCTTTGAATTTTAGGAGCTTCAGCACCCAAAAGGCTTCTGTGAGTGCATTACATAAGAATGAATACAGACATGGGTTTTAAATAGATATAATGTTGGAGTGTGATGTAAGCACACTTCTGGCAAGACAGCAACCAAATAAATGATGGTGAAAATATTTCCTTCTTACAGTCACTCTGCCTTGGTGAGAGACAGTCGTTGAGGTAAAAAAAAAAACATCTAAACCATCAAACATCAGTAAATAATCAGTATACATGTACAGAACTGAAAGTAAGGCATATACAGGTGTGAAAACATAAATAAGTAAAATTATTTATAGTGGAACCTTGACTTACGAGTGTCCCAACGTACAAGTTTTTTGAGATCAGAGCCGCCCCTGGGTCGATTTTTTGCTCTAAGTTATGAGCCAACATTTGAATTATGAGCCAGCTCCCCCCCCCCTCCGACTTCCCCTCAACCAAAACCTGTACACCTCTCTTCTTTATCTATAATTTCATGCTTTAATTTTCCAGGGAAACATTCTCTTTTTCTTCTCAGCACTGTCCCTTTACACTTACTTTCTTAGGATCCATGCTTAGAAAAAACAAAATTTGGCCAGATGACTGTGCAAAATGTAAGCAAAGCACGAGAGAACTGCTCCCACAGCGAGGTAAACGTGCACTAAAAAATTGGCAGCGTTCGTTTTTATAATAATATTAAAAATAATAATTATTATTATTATCAGTGTTATTATTATTAATTTAGGTAACTAGAGCACAGATCCAATTCCCTAGATCACCAGCGTCAGGCTCCATGACACTGGTGGGGGGTGCTTGATTTGGGAAAAATTGGATCTGTGCTCCAGTTCCCTAAATAATAAAAATAAATAATAATAATGGAGTGTGAGCAGGGTAATATTAGTGAAGGGATTCGGGGAAAACCCGGTTATTTTCTTATAGTCAGACTTGAGTCCTGGAAAATGGGAAGTACAATTCTGCACTTTAACCCTTTGACTGTTTTCAAACTAAAAAATACGTCTTATGAGCCAATGTTTCTGACGTATATATACTCAATAATTCTAGCGGCTTCAAATCAAGTGGGAGAAAGCTGGTAGGCCCACATGTGAGAGAATGGGTCTGTGTGGTCAGTGTGCACCACATAAAAAAAACCCTTTGCAGCACATTTTGGGCAAATGAGAAAAAAAAACTGATCGTTTTTTGGAATAAAACGCCAAACTTTGATGTGTATTTTCGTATAGTATTTATCGTTGTATTCGCGTTTTCATGGTCTTAGGTGATAAAATGGAAAACATATTACAGAAACAGAGATGATTTTTCATTACTTTTACGATGAAAACGACCTTGAAACTGACTCAAAGTAGCGGAATTGTTCGATTTTTACCAATGTTCAAGAGTAAATAAAATCACACCCACACGTCCAATACACGTCAACTGGGGAGTCTAATATTCTTTCACTAGTGCACTGATTTTATTTATACCATTTTTACAATGATGCAGTCGTCTGCATAACAGTAAATTTTGTATTTTTTTGTATGAATAAAAAATCAAAATAGAAAAGCATAATAATATAAGGGGCCTAGAGATGTGACTAATGAACAGAGCATATGTTATTTTAGTGCCACGAATTTTCACCTTGTTTATTCTGGACCCTATTTGAAATTGGCATCTTTTTTATTTTGCGTGAAATTGGCCCAAAATTGTCAATTTCTGCCCCACCATATTGGGTAGTCCAAATTAGTAAATGGGAGGTTTCTTGTACTCAGCTGATAGAAAAAATGGAAGTTCTAAAGAAATAGCTATGAGTTTGGTCAACGGAACATGGAATTGGCTGAAAATAGGGCTCAAAGTCGGCGAAATCGCCGATACGCATATGTCACCGAGACCGTACTTCGCGGGAGCAAAATTCCACGAGTTTTCGACCAAATTTCGAACTTTTGGTGTCATTACCATCGGGAAAAGATTCTCTATCATTTCATAAGAAAAAATAATTTTTTTTTTTTTCAAAAATTGAGCGCCCATAGAATGACAGTTTCAGAAGGGGCCTGAAACAGTCAAAGGGTTAAAGGAAGGTTTGGGATTTGGCAGTTTGGAGGGATATGTTGTGTATCTTTATACGATATATGCTTCTAAGCTGTTGTATTCTGAGCACCTCGCCAAAAGCAGTGATAATGTGTGAGTGTGGTGAAAGTGTTGAATGATGATGAAAGTATTTTCTTTTTTGGGGAATTTTCTTTCTTTTTTTGGGTCACCCTCCCTGGGTGGGAGACGACCGACTTTTTGGGAAAAAAAAAAAATAATAATAACAACGATAGAGCTTCAGTTCCTTAAATGCCGAGTGAATGCGGGGGAAAAGTTTTGAACCAAGTGTGAAAATACTTGTGGTTGGGGATTTCAATGCTAAAGTGGGTAAAAATGTTGTGGAGGGAGTAGTAGGTAAATAGGGTGCCAGGGGTAAATGAAAATGGGGAGCCTTAACTGAGCAATGTGTAGAAAAAAAATTTGGAATAAGTAATACATATTTTATGAAAAAGAGGATAAATCATGCACAGGTATGATAAAGCATGTAATGAAAGTAGTTTGTTAGATTATGTATTGGTGGACAAAAGGTTAATGGGTAGGCTCCAGGATGTACACGTTATAGAGTGGGCAACTGATATATTGGATCATTATTTAGTTGTAGCTACAGTTAGAGTAAGAGGTAGATGGGACAAGAGGAAAATGGCAACAACAAGAAAGAGGTGAAAGTGTATAAACTAATGGAGGAGGAAGTTCAGGTGAGATATAAGCAACTATCGACAGAAAGGTGGCTGGTGCAAGTATGAATAGTGGGGGGAGGGGGGTTTGAAAGGGGTTGGAATAGTTTTAAAAATGCAGTATTTAGAATGTGGGGCAGAAGTCTGTGGTTATATGAGGGTGAGTGCAAGAGGAAAGAGAGTGATTGGTGGAATGATAAAAGTAAAGGGTGTGATAAAAGAGAAAAGGTAGCTTATGAGAGGTTTTTACAAAGCAGAAGTGCTGTAAGATAAGTCTTTTGAGTATACCTGGTAAAGTGTATGGTAGATTTTTAAAATTGAAAGAATTAAGAGTAAGACGGAAAATAGGATAGCAGATGAACAAGGAGGCTTTAGGAAAGGTAGGGGGTGTGTGGACCAGGGTTTACAGTGAAACATATAAGTGAACAGTATTTAGATAAGGCTAGAGGGGTCTTTGTGGCATTTATGGATTTGGAAAAGGCGTATGACGGGGTGGATAGGGGGGCAATGTGGCAGATGTTGCAAGTGTATGGTGTGGGAGGTAGGTTACTGAAAGCAGTAAAGATTTTTTTACGAGGATAGTGAGGCTCAAGTTAGAGTATGTTAGGAAAGAGGGGAAATTTTTTCCCAGTAAAAGTAGCCTTAGACAAGGATGTGTGATGTCACCGTGGTTGTTAATATATTTATAGATGGGGTTGTAAGAGAAGTAAATGCGAGGGTCTTGGCAAGAGCGTGGAGTTAAAAGATAAAGAATCACACACAAAGTGGGAGTTGTCACAGCTGCTCTTTGCTGATGACACTGTGCTCTTGGGAGATTCTGAGAGAAGTTGCAGAGATTGGTGGATAAATTTTGGTAGGTGTGCAAAAGAAAAAAATTAAAGGTGAATACAGGAAAGAGAAAGGTTATGAGGATAACAAAAAGATTAGGTGATGAAAGATTGAATATCAGATTGGAGGGAGAGAGTATGGAGGAGGTGAAGGTATTCAGATACAGTGGACCCCCGGTTAACGATATTTTTCACTCCAGTAGTATGTTCAGGTGCCAGTATGACCGAATTTGTTCCCATAAGGAATTTTGTGAAGTAGATTAGTCCATTTCAGACCCCCAAACATACACGTACAAACGAAACTTACATAAATACACTTACAAAATTTGGTCGCATTGGAGGTGATCGTTATGCGGGGGTCCACTGTATTTGGGTGTGGAGTGTCAGCAAAATGGGTCTATAAAAGATGAGGTGAATCATAGAATTGATGAGGGAAAAAGAGTGAGTGGTGCACTTAGGAGTCTGTGGAGACAAAGAACTTTGCCCTTGGAGGCAAAGAGGGGAATGTTGAGAGTATAGTTTTAACCAACGCTCTTATATGGGTTGAAGCATGGGTGAGGGAATGTTGCAGCGAGGAAAAGGGCTGGAGCAGGGGAGATGTCATGTCTGAGGGCAATGATTTGGTGTGAATATAATGCAGAGAATTCGTAGTTTGGAAGTTAGGAGGAGGTGCGGGATTACCAAAACTGTTGTCCACGGGGCTGAGGAAGGGTTGTTGGGGTGGTTCGGACATGTAGAGAGAA